TCTATAAATATAAAATCTATAAATCTATAAATCTAGAAATTTGTAAATTTGGTATAATCTTACAAAAATGATGTATTTGGTCTGATTTTAATAAGAAAACTCTCACAATTACATTGGTAAAATACCCATTAAGAAAAAATAAAAAATAAAGAAGCTCGTTTCTACGTTCAGCAAAGTAACAAAGGCTATCGCCGAAGTTTCGTCTTAACCTTTCCGAGCTTCGTTCAGTATCTGATCGGATCTGCCTTGCACGGAACGAGCACACGACCCGAGCATTGCCCTTAAAAATGTCTCGGCCCTTACTCCGGAGATCGTAGAAAAATGACTATCCAAACTTCTACCCTATAATTGAGCCGTTTCATAAAACGGAAACTCAATGTTTCTCAAACTCAAGAGTTTCATAAAATTAAAGAATTTACTACAATTGAATTTAAATTGCAAGGCGAAATTATATGACATCAGTTACTTTTTTTAGCATTCTTATTATCTCTTGCGACTCTTAATAAAATGGAGAATCTAGAAAAATGAATGAAAATGAAAATGAAGTGTGAAAATGAATTTTTAAATAATTCTGTAACCCACATATGAGCCGTTTATTTTTAAAGTGGCATAAGTCACTTTGTTTTCGAGCCGATATAACACGTTTAAAAATATATGGATGCTGACTTTCGAGAAGATTTACTTGCATTTGTTATCTCGGGATACTGATATTATTCTCAGTATAAATAATTTCGTATAAACATGAAAAAATCACCATTTTTCATTACGGTGAAGTGACTTATGCCACATTCAAAATAAACGGCTCAATTGCAAGGAAACTAAACAGAGCCCGGTTTCTCTTGATCGCGGCGTATAATTCAGGCATCGAAGCTCGATTACCTCCTTCGTTTTTGCCGATGTCGGTATTGTCGCCGGGAGTGATCCTGGTGCTGTTAGGGCGACCCTGTCTCTGAGCATCCGGCGCGGACGTCGCGGCGATGTCGCCGTCGCAACGGCGCTCGAGGGCGCACAGCTCGCCGAGGATGGCATCCAGATCGACATCTTGGGAATCTGCAACGAAAAGGAAGAACACGAAACGATTAAGTCCAGCGAGAAAAAACGGGTGGAACACGCTCGATGGTCCAGGAAGGAAAGCCGAACGAAACACGAACAGTAAAAGCGATGCGCGTGGCGTGTCCCCGCGAGAGTAAGATGGCGTGCGGCGATTACGATTGCTGGATCGACCGGAATTATGAACGATGCACGTCGATAAAACCAGTTCTGCGTTAATTGCCCGTACGATTGTATTGGCCGTCTGGTAAACCGCACGTCGACCGCTCGTCTGTTCCTCGGAACGTGAAACGAGGACTCGCAGACACTCGTGTACCTGACCTCGTGCAACTAACGTGAGCGAAAGTCCTTGGGTGACCAAGAAACGGTCGACTTTAATTGATACTAAGGATAGATTGTTCGTATAAGCCGATAGAGAATTCATTTCGCTTCCAATCGCGTTGGACTTCTATCAAGATCTGTCTACTCGGTTAGCGAGAATAACCCTTTGCACTCGAGCACGCTCTAAGCACCCTTTGCGCTCTAGGATGTCGTAACAAAAATGATCAGGTGCATCGCGTTTCAAAATAATTTTAATATCGTGAAATTTGTTCGTATCTTTTAAACATTGTTAACAGCTGTAAATGTTGCATGGATCATAAAATTCAATTTCACATGCATAAAATGCATTAAGTTCTATAAAGTGGAATTACTATAAGTTAAAAAAGCTATTTCGAATGGCGAGTTCAAATGTCTCCGACTGCAAAAAAAGGTAACATTCTTTGACAGTTTGATACACATGTTGAGCTGTATTAAGTGTCCAATCATCTTCAATCGTTAATAATCTGTGTTAATAATAATTATTATTAACACAATAATTAAATTTAATAACATATAAATAATATATAAATAAATATATATATAAATAATAATAATAAATAATAATAATAAAAATATATATATAATTAATAATAATGAATAAATTTAATAATATATAACACATAATAAATAATTCTGTGGCTGCAAGGAAAAGCGCTGCATGTTACAATTTCCAAAAATTGTAATTTATGCATTGATTGAGCTGTAGAATGCAGGTTTCATCTGTTCGTGAAGAAACGAACCATAAAAATGAATTCGATGGGCTCAAAAAGATAACGCAACTTGAAAGCGTTAATGACCAGAACATTAAGTGGCAATATCTTGAAAGTAAAATCATGTAACATGTGGCGCTCTTCGTTGCAACCACAGAATTATCGGAAACCATTTCACTTTACAGGAAATATTACAAGAAAGTGGACAGCAAAACGTTCGTGTCTTGGAAATGCGTTTCTCTCTCTCTCTCTCTCTCTCTCTGTATAATTTTTGAATTCGTAACTTAAATTATCCCCACCATAATTCTATGACTGGGAGGAAAAGCGCTGCATGTTACAATTTCCAAAAATTGTAATTTACGCATTTATTGAGCTGTAGAATGCAGGATTTATCTGTTCGTGAAGAAACGAACCATAAAAATGAATTCGATGGGCTCAAAAAGATAACGCAACTTGAAAGCGTTAATGACCAGAACATTAAGTGGCAATATCTTGAAAGTAAAATCATGTAACATGTGGCGCTCTTCGTTGCAACCACAGAATTATCGGAAACCATTTCACTTTACAGGAAATATTACAAGAAAGTGGACAGCAAAACGTTCGTGTCTTGGAAATGCGTTTCTCTCTCTCTCTCTCTCTCTCTCTGTATAATTTTTGAATTCGTAACTTAAATTATCCCCACCATAATTCTATGACTGGGAGGAAAAGCGCTGCATGTTACAATTTCCAAAAATTGTAATTTACGCATTTATTGAGCTGTAGAATGCAGGATTTATCTGTTCGTGAAGAAACGAACCATAAAAATGAATTCGATGGGCTCAAAAAGATAACGCAACTTGAAAGCGTTAATGACCAGAACATTAAGTGGCAATATCTTGAAAGTAAAATCATGTAACATGTGGCGCTCTTCGTTGCAACCACAGAATTATCGGAAACCATTTCACTTTACAGGAAATATTACAAGAAAGTGGACAGCAAAACGTTCGTGTCTTGGAAATGCGTTTCTCTCTCTCTCTCTCTCTCTCTCTGTATAATTTTTGAATTCGTAACTTAAATTATCCCCACCATAATTCTATGACTGGGAGGAAAAGCGCTGCATGTTACAATTTCCAAAAATTGTAATTTACGCATTTATTGAGCTGTAGAATGCAGGATTTATCTGTTCGTGAAGAAACGAACCATAAAAATGAATTCGATGGGCTCAAAAAGATAACGCAACTTGAAAGCGTTAATGACCAGAACATTAAGTGGCAATATCTTGAAAGTAAAATCATGTAACATGTGGCGCTCTTCGTTGCAACCACAGAATTATCGGAAACCATTTCACTTTACAGGAAATATTACAAGAAAGTGGACAGCAAAACGTTCGTGTCTTGGAAATGCGTTTCTCTCTCTCTCTCTCTCTCTCTCTGTATAATTTTTGAATTCGTAACTTAAATTATCCCCACCATAATTCTATGACTGGGAGGAAAAGCGCTGCATGTTACAATTTCCAAAAATTGTAATTTACGCATTTATTGAGCTGTAGAATGCAGGATTTATCTGTTCGTGAAGAAACGAACCATAAAAATGAATTCGATGGGCTCAAAAAGATAACGCAACTTGAAAGCGTTAATGACCAGAACATTAAGTGGCAATATCTCGAAAGTAAAATCATGTAACATGCGGCGCTGTTCGTTGCAACCACAGAATTATCTGGAATCATTTCACTTTACAGGAAATATTACAAGAAAGCGGACAGCAAAACGTTCGCGTCTTGAAACGATGTTCCTACGGTTGGAAATGCGTTTCTGCATAATGTTCCGTATTCGCAACTTAAAATACAAAACACCGAGTTTGCAGATGATAACGATCGTCCGTTTGCAACGGTGCACAGCTTTATTAAAGCCGAAGTAACAGGTTCGTTAACAGGTCTGGCCCGAGGAAATTCTATGGTAACTTGAACGAAGAGGAACTGAAGGAACAAAGTGGCTAGTTCCCAACATTTTCAAGCAAAACCGAGCTAACAACATTTCCGTGTTGGCATCCGTTTCTTATTTTCCCTTATTGCCACCGGCTTGTTGCCCGCTGCAACATTCTTCTAAGAACGGTCGCAAACGACATACGAAATCGAACGTATGTTACGGATCCCGGCAACTCGAACACGATATCGTCTGCGTGTTCCCGGCAACTCTGTGTAGCGTAATAATTATCGCGGATCGTTACCCGCGCACGATAATGCCGGCTTCGTTAGGATAATTAACGAAATTAGCCTGCACCCGAGCAGGTAACTAGAAACCCGATTTCATCACCGAAACGAAATTATTCAAATGATTTTGCACAACCGTACTGTCATTTCCATGCACATTACATATTGTCTCGATTCGAATAGCCATCCGGTATCACTTATTTAACCGGAGGAATTTTACCTCGTTTAATCCTATTTAACCGACAATAGAATCTTGAACAAGAAGCGTAATATTGGATTGGAAGGGAAAATAACGCAGGTATTTAACTCTTTGCAGTCGGAGCCATTTTAATTCGAAATTCGAAATAGTTTTTCCGATCTATACTATTTCCATTTTATATAAACTTTTATATAAAATTGAATTTGAATGTCTAATTGAAATTGAATTTTGTGACGCACGCTACACACTTTACAGTTTCTTTTAGAACAAAAAAATTTGATAATAATAATTTTAAATTACTTTGAAACACGATGATAACAATTTTGAATAGAGTCGCCGAAGGGTTGATATGTCATGATTAGACTGCGGATTTTATGCATTTATGGCAAAAAATGTGCAGAACACGGTCGGAACATTTAATGAATTTTATGATACCGATATATTAATTTGAAACCGTCGAAACGATTAAAAGCAAAAATATATATTTGGCAATCAATGCAGATTTTTAGTTACCCTAAAAATGCGCGGTTTAGTCGTGGCCGGTATTGCATTCGGTATAAGTGCTTGTTACCTAAAACGTTAAATGACTGCCACGTCATTAATGTCTATAATGTGGGTGACACGATTCTTGAATCATCCTTAAGCACTCATTTTTGTTGCAACACGTTTGCAAGATCTGAACTTTGTTAGGCTTTGAATGTGATAATGACAAGTGATTGAATGTGACATGATAATGAAGTAATTAGTGCGTTTAGTTTGCTCCACAGGTTTCAGTGAAGATGTTCAGCGACGATGAAGATGTTCAGATGGAAAAGTATTGCTTACAAATATTCCGGATACACTAATTCGCGCTCAGATTGCGCACAAAAATCGACAGTTTAAGAAGGGGAGAGACGCTTATTCGAGCCTTGCGGCTCGTTTTTGTAGTTGTCGACATAGTTACTGTTTCATGTATATTATATTTTATATATATTTTATATATTTTTTATATATTTTTCTATGTATATTTTACATATATTTAAAGCTCGAATCTGAGCGCAAATTAGGGAGAAATGACTGTATTCACGATTGAGAAGAAGAGGAAACGAACTCAGTTCATTTTGTAATTATTGTATTACTATTAAAAGCGATCATTGACTTACACATCTTCAATGAGCAAAATCACGTTTGTAAAACGAGCGATCGAGATTTTTTAGCGACACCGCATTCCAGATCGGGAGAAATATATTTGTCAAGAATTGTCCTCGTCCCATAATACGAATCAGAATTAACAGACGACGGCTAAGAATGAAATTCCTGGGATTCGCGTGAAGGCGTGGGGCATTCCTCCGTCACATGGGAGCAACTAAGGGCACACGTGTAGGCCCCTACACTATGTCTGAACGGGCACATAACACGTGATACACAATAATCCTAAATCAGTCGTATTTCGACACTAACACGAGTCGGTACGGTTTATCGAGGTGATCAATTATTTGTGAATTAGTGTCAAGATCGTGGTTAATTTGGTCCACGGATCGTCACCAAGTACATACATACACCG